GTTCCGATTCAGTTCAGGGGTTTAATTGTTCTTTTATAATTTTTATATAGATAAAATCTGATTTGTTTATTAGATTATGCACTTTCTTTTGTGCAACATTATTTTTCTATTTGCAATACCTGTTGAGAACTGCAGCAGCACCGATTTAAACATCAACAGACACTGAAAGGGTGCTTCAGCTTATTATTTATAGTGCAGAAAACACTTTAGTTACACACTGCAAAGTTACTGGAAATGTGTTAAACATATAAAACTTGGACTAAGCCTCTTTCTGTGTCTTATTTATTAATCGTGAGTGTTTTATGATTGAGATTGATACCGTCTTGTTCATGGTGTGAAACACAGCAGGGTCTCTTGTGTCGAGTCTGCCACCACCTGGTTCCTCACGTTTTGGTTTTTACCCATACATTCATTCAACATTTATTTATACAGGTTAATCCCATTGAGCTTCGGGAGCTCAATTACAAGAGAGACCAGATTTAAAAAACAAGAAGCGATAACAGTAAATCATAAAAAGCAAACAAATTGAGAAAAACAGAAGGAAATGGTATTAAACGAAACAAAAACAGCTAGATTGTAAAGCACTGTAGAAAACTAAAAACATGAACTTGTACATATACCAGTGAGAGAGTCTGCGTAAAGTTGATGTCCAGTTAACCAGTGAATACAGGGTGCAGTGATGGGTACGGTATGAATCTTAGCGCACCGTGATAGACAGCATCCAACATCTGCAGGGTGCTTGTAGGAGCGTTCATGTAAATAACCTTACCAAATGTTCTACATGGAGCTTAAAAGAGAGATGCAAATCGACCAAGACACCCAAGTATTTTTTTGAAATCGACAAACTCAATAGGAGCACTATTCAAGGATAAAAATTGAAGGATGAACTGCTGGGACCGACTTCCTATTTGGAAAAAAAAAGCATCCCTTCGGTTTTGTCTGCGTTTAGGACAAGTTTGAGATGGAACAAATCTGACTGGATGATGATGAAAGCGGATTGCAAAAGCTGGAAAACCTTAACTGTTGTATCATCAGCATAGAAGTAAGAATGCATCAGGTCCTAAGACTGAGCCTTGTGGTACACCATTGTTGACTGTTAAATAACTGGAGGAAGTACCATTATGTTGAACACATTGCCTCTGGTCTGAAAGATAGTGAACCAGTTTTTGAGAACTTATGACGCAAGATGTTCTGATCCACAGTGTCAAAATCTTTAGACAGGTCTAAGAAAAGTGCAGCACAATAATCATTAGCATCCAGTGCTTCAACAATGTCATTAAGAACCTTCAGTGAAGCGGTTATGCTGTGTTTCATGAAACCAGATTGATGTGGAGGCAAAATGTTAAATGAGTCCAAATACTTTTTGATTCGAGTTTCAGTTTTTCTTGGCTAAAATGCAGAGTTTAGATGTTGGTTGTTCAGCAAAGGAAGAACAAAGGACAGTCTAAAGATGTGGGACTGCGATGAGATGAGCGGCCAGCCTTAAACCTTAAGATCATAACATTTCCATAAAGTCCCATTTCAGAAGATTTGAACCGTAACCATTTTTGCATTGTAACAAAAATTATATAGCTCAGGAGAAAAACAGCAGCACCGACTTAAACAGCAACAAACACCGAACGTGTACTTCAATCCGATCAGGATCAACTGATAAATGAGGAAATAACTTGTGTTTTTTAATCATTATTATTATTATATGCAATAATGCAGAAAGAACCTTTGCTACTAATTTAATAATTTCTGCATTAACCCCCACCCCCCAAGCAGGTGCCCTGATGATCCAGTTGAATTCTCTAACTGGTGTGAAAGTTATTATTGTGTAAAGCAGATGTACGACACGTGCATATAATTTCCCGTTAAGATTACTTTAAGCTTAAACGCGTCTCTACTGGTGGTTAATCATGCAGCTTTCAGGTTCTGTGGGAACAGTCGGGCTGAGATTGATACTCGGTGTCCCACTGCGTCAGCTGCAGTCGTCTTTATCCCAGTTTGCGACGAAACAAACGTATTTTGTTCCACAAAGCTTTTTTGCCTGAAAGATTTTTCACGCTTTCAAACGGCAAATCAGAACACTTTGAAGTCTTCCCTTTAAACAAGAAGTAAAGAGAGTTCAGAGAGCGTCCCGGGAAGGCATTAGAATATCAGAGAGTGAATGCACCACAGCCTCATCCTGTCTGCTTTTATCAGCTGACTGATGTGCACGGCAGACATCCTTTGTCCAGTACAGGATTCTTTGAATATGATCAATCAGATGGTGAAGCCCTGAGCACCTCCCGTGCAGCGTTTGTGCAGGGTTTTCCATATTTTGTTTCAAATTACTTACACGTACACGGTCTATATTTACAGAAACGGATGAGATTCAGAGAAGTTTAACAATTTTTGGAATATGTCTACCCAAGGCCGGATTAACCACACGGGCAACTGGGCAAGTGCCCAGAGGCCCACGATTTAAGGGGCCCAGAGCAGTGAGGGCAAAAGCAAAATATCTGGTCATTTGGGCCGCCCCGCCTCCTCCCAGTGCCGCCGCTGCAGCTCTGGTTTACAGAGCCGCATCCTCCACTGCGCGACCTGTCAATCAATCCAGAAGGCGTGTCAGCAACTGACCAATGGACAACCTCAATTTGTCCCCGAAGGTAAACGCCCCTTACCTGCCGACAAGCCCGTCAGGTTTTTTTTTTTCTTCTAGAACTTTATTAACAAAACAGAACGATGCAACAATACATACAAACCGGATTCCAAAAAAGTTGGGACACTAAACAAATTGTGAATAAAAACTGAATGCAACGATGTGGAGGTGCCAACATCTAATGTTTTATTCAGAATAGAACACAAATCACAGATCAAAAGTTTAAACTGAGAGAATGTTTCATTTTAAGGGAAAAATCTGTTGTTTCCAAATTTCATGGCGTCAACAAATCCCAAAAAAGTTGGGACAAGTCCATTTTTACCACTGCGTGGCATCCCCCCTTCTTCTTACAACACTCAACAGACGTCTGGGGACAGTGGAGACCGGGGCTGCGGCTCCTTATGAGCGCCGCCCTGATCGCTTAGACAAGAAAAGAGGAAGAACGCATGAGGAGACAAGGTTAAAAAATAAAGATCTCTCACACTGTGTCCTTGACGCAGGGCTCGGTGTAAGGATGTAAAAAAAAAAATCTACCTCAGCAAGCAACATGTGGGGGGGGACGATGACAAGACGGTAAGAGTGTCCACGAACACTTCCACATTGTTTCCATACTCCTTATGTGTTATCATTGTACGTTCCCATGCAATGATGAAATTGGCGCTCTGCATTTAACCCATCCACCACCAGGTGGTGCAGTGGGCAGATATTGAAAGCGCCCAGGGAGCATTTTGGGGATAATGTGTGCTGCTCAGAGACACCACGAGATGTGCAATGATTGTGGATCAAACCCGGGACTTTCAGGTCTTGAGTCGCCTGCCCTGCTTCATGGACAAATCTCAACGTCTTGACATCAAATGTTCATAAACGTGCTGCTGGTAGAGATTTTTGACGTCTCAAGTCGTGTCCCGATAGGACAAGATGTGAAGAGATTTTTTTTTTTATACCACTATTCATCCTCATGACTTTTCTATCTAAAAACTATCCTGATAAAGAATAAGGAGCCGCGCTCTTGTAGCAGCAGCTACGTGCACTCCGCCCAACGCCTGTACAAACATAAGCTCACTGTATCCCGGTACAATGATAAAGCTGATTCTGAGCTTCCTTCAGCTTTTTTACCTGGATTATTAAGCATGCATCAGGATATTCTTTCAGCTTCCTTGTACAAACTTAAACATTTTTTCAGCTAATTTCAGCTAATTTCAGCTGTTTTTCAGCAGTGCTTCTTTCAGCTTCTTTCTGCTAATTTCAGATTGTTCTGCTTCTTTCAACTGATTTCGGCTGGTTTCAGCTTTTTCTGCTACTTCAGCTACTATTTAGCCGTTTTTATGCTAATTTTAGCTTTTTCGGCTAATTCAACATTTTTTGGCACCGATTTCAACTTTTTCAGCCAATTTCAGGAAATGTCTGCTCTCACTACTTCCTTCTGCTTTTTAATTTTCTTTCTGCTTCTTTAGCTACTTTTCAGCTGTTTTTTGTTGTTGTTGCTTATTTCAGCTTTTTTCAGATA